CATTTTATGTCCCCAAATCACATGATCCTCAGTTTGGATATGTGTTTCCTCTGTAAGGGCTTATTTTAGTCATTGATAAAATGTTAAACATGACAAGGCCAAAATTTCACCAGAAAACATCATCCAGGTTGGAAATGTTACACTAATTACCCAGTTGTTAATTCATCTAGTTGTCCCCCTCTTAAGACCATATTTCTAAATAAGGTCCATAGGGACTATATAAGTTATTTTCAAGTTCCTTAACAAAATCCAAATATAATGACTTATAAGAGCCAAAGATCTTTAGATTTTTATTCACTCTTTAAACAAATTTTATTGTATGTATACTTCATATCAGGCACTAAATTGATCTCATCTCTGGTGATTGAGTCAATAAGACGCTGCTCCCAAGGAGCTTACAATCTAGTGGGGAAAGCAGAAAATTACAATTGATGATTACCATACAGTATTATAAACATGATAGGCAATTAGGGAACTACAGAGGCACAGAGTACAATTATGTAAATCAAATTACCAGATTAGGAAAGGTTTCCCAAAGGAGATAACAAGGTTTGAGTTTGAGGTCATTATGGGACCGTCAGATTAAAATCTGGTTATTTGGGAGAGAAGTCTGGGCCAGGCATACAAGACTTAAATGTGTTAAAAAGAAAACCTTTGGCCCAAAATGGTGTCACTTAAGGCAAGTCACCAAATATGGACCTAACACCTTACCCAACTGCATTTCAACCTACCCTAAAAATGTAGCCTTAAACCGGACAGTCAGGAATTTTCTGATCAGCATCAATGAGGAATCTGTCACAAGTGCCCTCTCCATCCCCCCAAAACTGAGGTAATCCACCTAATAAAATCCCTTGCCCTTCCCCTTAAGGAAAGGTAGCCTTGCCTGAAGCAATCCTTTCTTTTGCTAATAACCTCTTGCCACATTCTCCTTCCTATAAAAACCTTCCACTTTGTACAACTCCTCAGAGCATCTCTCTACTTGCTAGATGGAATGCTGCCTGGTTTATGAACTGCTTAATAAAGCCAAGTAGATCTTCAAATTTACTCAGTTGAATTTTGTTTTCTAAGAAGAGTCAACAGTGAAAGATGATATTTATAGCCATGGATTTGGACAAGACCACTGAGGTAGGAGTTAACTAAAGAAAAAAAGAAAGCACTGGAATTTCAGGTAAAGGGAAGAATACTTTCAAGGGGTGAAAGGTCAGGTGTGTATGAGACCTGACTCATATATGTGTTGGGTTGGGAGAGGGGCTGGGATAGAAAAATACTGCTGGAGATGTCAGAGGCCAGTGCAGTAAGAGCTTTTTGTGTGGAGCCAAGAAATGAGCCAGAGGCCAGTTCAGCAAGAGCTTTGTTTCTGGAGCCACAGAAAACTACGGAGGCCGTTGAAGGGCTCTAAGCATTGGAACTGCTTGCCTAGATTAAAGATTTAGAAAACATCCTCTAGGGTCAGTGTCCAATATGAACTGATGGAGGAAGACAAGAAGCAGGGAGACTAATAAAGAGTTCACCAAAATGGGTAGAGAGGAGTAAGTAAAGCAGTGCCCACAGGGCAGTGAAAATGAAAGACATATTCCGGAAATGAGAAAGACTCTGAACTGAGAAGTCCTGGACACTACTGAATTTGAGATCCTTCAGTAGAAAGAGAAGGTCTAAGGAGATCCCCAGCATTTCAGTTGGCAAAAGAGGTAGTGGTATCATTTGTTGGATAAGGAAACACTGCATCAGGAGTGGTGGGGAGGATTTCTGAACTCAGGTTTTATGATTTTAAGTTGAGTTTGAGGTCAAAATAGGATAGCCAGGTAGAAAATATTGGATGTATGGATATGGCATTCTTCAAAGAACTCTGGGATGGACATAGAACCTTAGGAGTTAACAGTGAATAGATGGTAATTACTGCCATAGATTTGGACAGAATCACTCAGGCAGACTATAGATAATCAGAGGAGAGACCCAAAAGATGAAGGTTAACATCAAATTCAAGCTTTAAAATAAAAAGTTACTGTATCCAAGGACTTTATCAATTTTTTTCTCATTTACTGTTTATTTCTTATATTTTAATATGTACGAAATTTCTAAAGTTTTTGAAAGGAAATTTATCAGATAGCTTGTCAATGTGGTACTACTGTTTCACTTATACATCAAAAAACAATAGCATAAATTTATGTTATAGCATCTCAAAACAACATGAGTTAAAAAATATATAGTAAAAGGGCCAGGAAAGTTTATGATACAATTTAAGCTCAACATCAAAATTAAACTCTAGAATGTTAAGGACCCCAAGCGTTTTATTTCTTCTACATTTTAAAACCTTTTTCTTCTTATTTACAAGTCTTGGTTGGGGGAAAGAATATTGTTATACCAGTAAAACAGAAATTCTTGCTCATTTTTGCTACACTCACACATTAACTGCATGTGTATACACAACCTCATTGCTTCATCAACCCTATTCAAAAAGAAAAAAAAAAACAATTTAAATGAATAAAAATATCACTGAACAAGATTTCACCAGATTGTAGAGCATTATGGTAATCTGTACCTAAATTTCATAATCTCAAATATTCCTCTTAGTCAAAATATTTTATACTTTATCAACTTATACAAGATGGACTAACTGGATCATCCTCTAAGAAACGAATGATTTGCATATTCTTTCACAGCACATTATTATAGCTGAGATTCTTAATCTGGATGTTCAAAGAAATTTAGTATAATGGATCCAAACACAGCCATAGAAAACTCTAGTCTTCTGAAGTTCAGAATTCAGTGTTAATAAGTCAAAATTCTTAATAAAATGCTCAAACAAAAAAAATATATATAAACCTTATTCTCCAAGGCACACCTGCTTTTTAATAAGTCAGATTTTTAGAGGCATCACCATGGCAACTGTTAATAAAGTTTTATCTAGTCTCATAATTATAATAAAATAAAATAAATAAAATAAAGTTTAAATTTCATGGTAGAAAATTTCAAAAATAAAATTTCAGTTAATTACACAACATATCTATAATACTGTGATACGGGCTTACCAAGTGTATGTTGGGCCTTCTATTTGCCAAAGAGAACCTCATTGTTTCATTGTTAATCTACTAGATTTAACTAAAAATCTGTTCTAAATAGCTATACACACTGGAAATATATAGCCAGTTTATATATAAGACAATTTAATAGCGTAATTCTGAAAAGGGATAGAATGTCCTCTAAAGGACTCTCGTAAGATACGTGGTAGTTAGGGGTGTCAGGGTGGCTCCATAGGTTAAGCATCTGACTCTTGGTTTCGGCTCAGGTCGTGATCTCATGGGTCGTGAGATCGAGCCCCATGTTGGGCCCTGCACTCAGTGGGTAGCCTGCTTGAAGATTCTCTCCCTCTGCCTCCCCCACTCTAAAATAAATAAATTAAAAAAAAAAAAAAGATACGTGATAGTTCTAAGTCTTGCTGTAGCCATCTTCCGAACTCTTTGATTCATGACATTTGATTGTGGGGGGCGGGGAATGGGCAGGAGGTAGTGGAAAAGAGTCCTATCAGCTTCACATATAGAGAAACCTGACCGATTGAAGTTGACCTGACTCCACACATAGAATCACCATGACTGTAACACATATGCAACAGTTTGTACCAATATGCCAACATTCATCAAGTAAAAGGTTAATATAAAAATATCTAAAACATGAGAATGTGTCTTTTCGCTTGGGAGGAGTAAGGCCTGACAATGTCCAGTTCCCTAACAGGCTTATCTCCTGGTTGTGACACAAAAACTCTGAATACTGAAGGGTAGTAATGGTTGCAGATGGTGATTATTCCTAAACCTGCCCCATGAGATACTTCATACCCACTGGGCAGGTGACCAAGGAGGAACACATGAATATAACTCAGGGCCATCCTGTACTACAGCCAGAAATCTGGCCCTGACAGCAGACTCTGCAGCACTGGAAAAAGTAGCACTAATAAACTTGAAAACCAAGAGATACTTCTAAATCGGGAGCTTTATTTAATGCTAGACTATATGTGCATCATGATACTGTCTCCAGACTTCTGGTGTCACATAGTCATACAGATATCCATCCCAAAATGCCAATTCGAATATCCTTTCTTAACAAAATAAACTTCCCAAAATGTTCCTTACTATCCCATACCGAGTATCTACAAAACTATAATAGTCTACCTTTAAATAATGTTGATGCTGAGATGTTACCTGTGACCAATATGGCATTTAAAACATATTAATTAAAAAACGATCTACAACAGGAAATTAATTTTTATTCCAGATCAACGCATATGTGATCTTATTACCTGAAAACACCTTACATTTGTGAAAGTTATTTACTTACACATTCTTCAATTGCTCTAACCATTAGGTATTATTACGAATATGCTGTTATTCACCAGTAATATTAGCTCTTCCTATTAAAAAAAAAAAAAAAAGTCCAAACTACAAAAGGAGGAGTGGGTGATTCGGATTTAGATTTTGTTTTTACAAGTAACTCCAAATTTAGTGACGTATTTTTTTGAAAAATATCCTAATTTTCCAATCAAAGCCCTTTGCAGAAAAATATTAAAATAGAAAGCTGATCTACTATGTGAATTTTCTTCTTCCATGCATCAATATAAATACACTTTAAAAATCATATTTTAGCTAATTTTTAAATTGATATTCATTTTTAGGAATTTTTTTAAAAACCATCTTTTTGAACTGCTAATTTGCTCAAAACATGGAATTTCAGTATCCAATTATAGTTGCATATTTGGGGTAAGAAAGAAATAGTAATGTTTTTTCTAATTTTGTAAAAGATGTATAGAAATTATGTAATCCCAGAGCATGAATAAAACTTTATAAAACTTTACCTTAAACACTAGGAATTAGCTATCACATTCTAAATCTCTCTTGTGAAGCCAATGGGTACATATGAAAAGTTCTGCCGATATGCTTCAAACCACCTTACTTTGATAAAAAATGCAGTAACATTTCTCCATATAATAATATAAGACATGAAGGACGTACGATGGGCATAGATACTGCTTCTTTTTCCCCTTCCCTTTCTTTGAAGACTTCTCTTTAGAATAAGCTTCTTCAACCCACAAGGAAATTAAAATAAAAAAGGCAATCGCCAATAAAAACTTCATCTTGAGAGTTAAATTTCAGGAGATCAATCTACAAGAAAGAACAAGAAAATGTTTACATAAAATGATAACAATACAACTCTAAGGAGTATGACCATTACTACCCAATTGACAAGAGCATTTGTACATGAAATTCTCATTGACCGAACCTATGTGATTAGCCTTCATTATATATTTGTGATGTTTAGCAGTAAGGGTTAAATAGAATAATGGCTCATACAAAATACAATCCCAAGGAGGTATAAAAGTATGAAAAAGGTATAAAAAAGGTATGCAAAATTTCTGATTTTATAGCTACAGACAATTGTTGATTGACATTGAATTGAATTGCACAATCTATCAATGTATGTTTAGAAAGCTACCTGCAAGGATGTTTAACACAGTTTTAAAATGGTTACCTTCTCCTTGTACATGTGGAATTTTTATTTCTTTCTTCAATTCCTATATTTTTGAATTTTGCCATGTAATTTTTTCAAAAATGATAAAGCTTTTCTAATGGAAAAGACAATTTTAACTTAAAGAATTGACAGAGATAAAGGAAAAAATTAGAATCAAAAGTTTCACACTTTAAATTCACCGTTTTTATTTATACCCATTAAATTTGCAAGTTACATTTTACCCAAAAAGGGTGCATACTGATTTACGGTAGCTTGTTGGCTTTCCCACTTTCATGTTATTAACAGTTATCGAAGATGATTTTTGATTCCACAAATTCTAGGTAACATAATATGAAAAAAAAACCCAGCAAGTATGGTCAGACTCTTCCAAATAATCTTCTTAGTCCTATTTTAATAACATTTTCTATGCTCAAATAAGAATTATATTCTTGCCGGTCCAATGCATCCAAAAAAGAAAAAAAGAAGAACTTTAATATTCTGGAATACTTAAGCCTCTTTTGCAGTCCTTCATTTCCAAACCATAAATTGTTTCTTCATCATTGTTTTCTGCAGACTAAGAGATCTATCAGATCCTTCAACATCCACTTAATTACTATCTCGTCCTTATAATTTTGCTTCTCTTATGTCATATTTTGCCCCTTCCTTTCTCCCAGGAATTCTTATTTTCTCCCACTTATCTTTTACAGCCCCTATGGCAAGCCAGAAGGGCTTCTTCCCTGGCCCCCTCTACCGAGGACAACAGAGAGGACTTATCATGCCAAGAGCAACAACAGAAGGCTTTCCTCTGTCAACTTCGAGCATTGGACCCTCCCTTCCCCCATCCTACGGTGGCATCTGCTTCCAGACACCTCCGTCCACAGCAGCAGGTACTTCTCCCGCCTTCACATTCTTCCCCAGGAAAACAGGGGGGCCATCCTAACGGTCTGAAGGGTCGAAGAGAAATTCAACCCTATGCTCCCCGTCTTCACCTCCAATCTTTCAATGGGGACAGCTGCAATGACTGAAGGAGCTTCACAAACAAAACAACGCCAAGGAGCCCTCCCCGCAAATCCTGCGTTCCCCCAATTCCCCCCAGCTCTCTGCAGCCCTCCCTCCGGAGCGTATCTGCGGACTCCACCGCACCGGTGCAGCCGTGAGCCGGCTGCCGGGCGCCCCGCGCCCCCTTTACCCGCGCAGGGCAGCGCTCGCCTCCTCCCCCTGCACGCCGCAGTGCTCCTCCCGCCTCCACCACCCCAGGCTCGACCCGGCTTTTCCGCAGAGCGTTTATTCCGCCGCCTCCCACTGCGGGTCGTCTCCCGCCCTCCACGCCCACCCCAGCCAAGAGCCCCCGACACTTACCCGAGGCGTCCTCGCCCGCAGCCGCCAGGCGAGGACGCGGCGGCTCGAGGACCCAGACGGCGGTGGCTTCTGGGGGCAGCTGCGTCCCCGCCGCCCGCGCCACCGCCGAGCTCGGCTGACGCGCCTGCTCGGGCCGCGGAGCCTGCGCCGTGGCGCGCTGCCTCCCGAGCGTCCGCAGCCGCGCTTGGGGCCCCTGCGAGACCTCGGGCCGCGCTGCCGGGAACCGGGGACTGCGGGCTGGCGGGCTGGCGGGACCGCGGGCTGGCGCGACGGCGGGCCGGCGGGCGGGGGAAGGGAAAAGGTGTTCCGACCGGGCGTGGAAGGACGTCACAGCACCTTCCCCTCCGGGCACTGGAGGGGTTTCTGTGAAATGTAGTCCCCCTGCAGGGGCCTAGAAAAGACTGGAGCGCGGAAAGGGGGCAAGGACCGTTTTGGTACAGAAGGAAGAAGATACCTTTCAAGGAGCTGGAATTCGTTTAGGGTCAACTTTTGATTACTAGTAACAAAAGCGGGAGAACAACAGATGACCTTCTTGGACCAGGGGACGACACACAGTTTCTGTAATTTCATCATCAGACTCCGGATACCTAAATCTCTGAGTCTTACCAACAATCTCTAAAAGCCTGACCTTTCTAAGTAAGCTTAAATTGGTCAAAATCATTGAAAACATATAATCCTGCAGGTAATGCTATTCTAACATTCGTTACATAATTAACTTGTGTCCAAAACTTGACAGTTTCAAAACCCTGGCCCTGCATTGTCTCCTTTGGCCCTCGCAACGTTCGTTCCTAGGCAAGTTTTATGTCATCATTCCTGTTTTGTGGATGAAGAAAGTGACGCTCAAATATTTCAAGGGATTTATTTAGTGTTACATACCTCGAGTGGAATTTACCAGAGACTCAGTCTGATGTTAACACTTTTGAGTCAGATATGACCTTGGCCCTCTGGTAGTCAAGTGTTAGTTGTGGTTGTTTTCTAGGAAGAAGCCTTTCATTTGACAATGCACCTTTGGGTGACAAACCTTTCCCATTACCTCTTGACGATATAGCTAATTGACTTTTTTTATTATTATTAAGAAAGCATTGTCTCAGGGGCACTTGGGTGGCTCAGTTAACTGTGGGACTCTTGATTTTGGCTCAGGTCATGACCTCATGGTGGTGGGATGGAGTCCTGTGTTGGGCTTCAGTTTCAGCAGGGAGTCTGCTTGAGATTCTCTCTCCTCACCCTCCCCCTCTGCTATTCTTCTGCCCTTCACCCCACTTCTGTGGGCGCTCGCTCTCTGTCTCTCTCTCAAATAAATAAATCTTAAAAAAGAAAAAGAAAGCATTGTCTCAGGTGAGCACCCCACTTAGCATTGTATATTTGGACCCACTTGAACCCATATCTATGACAGGAAGGGAATATTTCCTATATATAACCATGTTCTATAAGCTTCACAAGATGTTCTGCTGCCTAAGGTTAGCATTTGATCATTATTTTATTTATTTTTTTAAAGATTTTATTTATTTGAGAGAGAGAATGAGATACAGAGAGAGCATGAGAGGGGGGAGGGTCAGAGGGAGAAGCAGACTCCCCGCTGAGCAGGGAGCCCAATGCGGGACTAGATCCCGGGACTCCAGGATCATGACCTGAGCCGAAGGCAGTGGCTTAACCAACTGAGCGACCCAGGTGCCCGATCATTATTTTATTTAAAGAGCTATCCTATTTGGAGCCTCCAAATGGGATCAGGATAGGACTTTGGATTTTACAAGTATATACAGGAGAATTGCATTGGTCATATAAGTTTAATAAGATACAAGTTTTGGAGAATAAGTCATGTAAGAAAGAAAGTGAGTGGGAACAGAATTTGCCACCCCAAAATATCTCTTTGGAATAAGGATTACTTGGAGCTAATTATTTTTACAAGACAGCAGACATAAGAGAAGCTCTGAAAATTGAGTAGAAGTTACCCTTTTGTAAAAAAAAATTCATGTTTATAAGGGAAGTCTCAATTTGTAAGGATGTTTCTCTTTCTCTGTCTCTCTCTGTCTCTGTCTTTCTCCATCTCTCTCTTTCTCTATACCAGGGAGAGGAGGATGACTAAATCTCTAGAAAGTCTTACTGATGGAGAAGTCACTGACTTAAATCTGTATAACAACTGTACCCTTATTTACTGTACTATTCCTGATAACCTCCCATAACTGGCCTTCCTCCCTGACAACAACCTGCCCCCAACATCTTCTTTTGTCTTTAGCAGTAGAAGGTCACTAATATCATGGCTTGGGCCATTTTAGAGAGTTACTCAGTTTTCCTGGGTGTCTCCCAAGTATACAGGAGGTATACATGTTACTAAACTTTTGTTTGTTTTTCTCCTGTTACTCTTTTATTGGGAGGAGGGGGCAGGTGGAGGGTGGTTCTTTGCCAAGAACCTAGAAGGGTAAAGGGAAAATTTTTTCCTTCCCTACAGAAAGATAAAAGAATAAGTTGCATGCAACCAAGGGAGTTCAGAAGTCGAAGAATATAACATAAACTTAGTTTTCTCATAATCAGGGTATCACTAAGAGTTTGGAATAATAGGATATTCAGATTCCTGTAATGAAATAGACCTACCTTTCACTTACAAAAATCCTATGAACTCATTTAGAAGAGCTTATGTGTTGCAAATACCTAAAATCGACTGGTTTACCTTCCCTAGTATTGTCTTGTAATTATGCCATTTATGGGTATATTATTGGAGAATTAGTTATTCATAAGAAATCATGTCCAACTGTTTAGATATGTTTGGGTTCATTTTTGTTTTGTGCCCAAAGTTTAAGAAGTACAGTTGGTGACCTAAGATGACCTCCTCCAGGCTTGTGAAGCTGTGAAGTTCAGAATTTTGAATATTTTCTTTGAAGATGATCAAGTCACCTGTATTTATACAGCTTTTGTGTGTGTGTGTGTGTTGTTGACAAAGGGAAACCTTCCCAATAATGCCATGAAATAATCTGATTTTCCCCAATCCTATCAAGAGTTGGTCCACTTTCTCTATTTTTTTTTAATCTCCATTCACTGTCTTAGTAATTTCATCCAGTTATGTGGCTTTCAGTACCATTGTTGATGGTAAACCAAGTTTATTTCTCCAAACTAGACCCCTCTCCAGAACTCTAGACTTAGATGTCCAATTGCCTTCTCAATGTCTCAACTTGCACATTTAATAAACATTTTGTCCTGAACATGTCCAAAATGGAGCTAATGTTCTTCTCCCCCAAATCTGCTCCACACTCAGTCTTCTTCATAATTGATGGCAACCACTTCCTTCAAGTTTTTCAGGCCAAAAATTCTTAAAAATTGTTCTTGAGTCCTCTCTTGGTCTCCCTCCCCACATCCAAACTATGAGGAAACTGTTTCTCACTATTTTTACCATAACAAACATGGACTGAGTCACCATCATCTCTTAAGTTGGCTTATCGTAATAGCTCCCTG